GTGCAATCCCACTTGCGACCCTGATTTGTGTAACATTTGCAGCAGATCCACAAACTCTGGCCGTGTCATGTCATGTAACGCTTTGCTGTGTGTGTCCCGCTCGGCACCGCGTCCACACACACAAACTTTTATCTTTTAACAGCTGACAACTCCAGACTGGGAGGGGGGGGCAGTTGACTTCTTTTTTTGTGACTTCAACAGCTCTTTTTTTTAAAAAAAAAGTGAGTGTCTTTTGCGGCGTTAAAACCGAAGCGATGCGCGTCTCTCCCAACCCGATGTGCTTTGGGAGCGAGTGAAGCAGCACATGGACACGTTAACGACGCGTTGCACTGACTGCAGCGGAGGGTTTTGCTTCAGAAAAGTAAAAGTTAACAACAAACCCACATCTGAAAGTGAAACTATTAGGGATCGAAAACAAGTGACAAAACCCTGGAAAGGAAGGACAGCCGTGGGAGCGGTCACCTCGGAGGGTCGCACGTGTCGGGTCAGTGGAGTGTACAATCAGGATCTCTGGTTATTTCTTAACTGGAGCTCCCAAAGCGCAGCAGCGCAGCAGCAGCGGAGCAGCAGCAGAGCAGCAGAGCCCTCCGTGCGGAGTGGTAATCAATATTAATTCTGCTCCGAAGCGCCGGGTTTCAACTTTATAAACAGGGCCACCGCTCCTACCCTCTCTGCTGCCGTGCGATCGCGGTGCAGCCCAAATAGCCACTAACCAACGGCGCACTTTCACTGGGGGGGGGGGGGACACGTCTCTGATGATACGCGCCGAGATCTGCGAGACGGATCGCATCCCTCCATCGCCTCTCACCTCACAGCAAAACACCCCGCCGGCAGCATCACATTACCATGACAACTAACAGAAATACCTTAATACCCGCTGCTCTCCGACTGTCACACTACACGGAGCCGCCGATTTAACCCGTAAATTCTCAAGATGCGACGGGGCAAAGGCACCAATGCACACACGCTCCAAAGTGAGATCCAAACCACCGTTAAACAGTCACACGCGAGAGAGAGAGAGAGAAAAAAAAACCACTCGAGCTCATCGCAGCCACTTCTATGGCTTATGCCCCACACAGTGGCTTTCGGGATGTCCCATTGAGAAACCGATTGATACGTACTTGATTGCTGTGACGGTTCCGTCTTTACATGTAATCCAAAAAAAAACACTTCCAAGTTGCGTGTGTCCAGACGGTCCAGAGTCCTCGGTGCGGATTTTACATGTAAAGTGTTTCTTCTAAAAGAAGTGTGTGGGGGGGGTGGGAAACAAATGACTCCCCGGCCCCTAGGGTTTGGGTGCAGCGCAGATCCGGATCCTTCTCCTTTGCGAGTTCATTGGAAAGTGTGTAAAACTCTTCCCCCCGGTCTGTCCTCGGCTTGCAATGTGCCTTTGTTTATGTGCAGACAGATAACAGTCCCTGCTGCTGAACGTCATTTATGTTCATGTAGGGGAGGTATTTTCCTCCCCTCCTCTCCACCCCCCCACCCCCCCCCCTCCCCGTGCGCGAAAGCTGCGCGCCTATAGGAGGGACGCCGGCATCTCCATCCAGAGCGGCAGGAATGCAACCGACGTCAATCGTGACGCCGCCGGGGCCGCTCACGTCGTGCGACGTCACGTCTTTCCAGTTGTGTGTGTGTGTGTGAGTGTGTGTGTGTGTGTGAGAGAGAGAGGTTCACAGACACACACACACAGAGAGAGACAGTCACACACACACACAGAGCCCTCACCCCCCCCACCCCCCCCCAGTGCTGCTCGGGGCCGCTGACCCCCTCCCCCCTCCCCCCTCTGTCTGTGCTCCTCGCGCCCCCCCATTCATTATCATTCATTAACCCGGCGCGCCGCCGCGTCACGGCGCGGAGCCGCCCAATCAGCGGCCGACACCCCTTTGTTTCCCTCCCCCCCCCACTCTTCGCCCTCGCCTGGAACACCATCCCGCGCGCCTACGTCACGGCCCCGCCCCTCCCCACCTCCCCCTCCCGCGCGCTGTGTCTGTGTGTGTGTATGTGTGTGTGGGTGTGTGGGGCCAATCGGTGCGCGCGGCGCCGCCAGACGAGGGCGGGGGAGCCGCGCGCGCGTGAGAGCGCCCCTGCCCTGCTGACGCACGCCATTGACGCAGGCTGCAGCTAAAATTAGCCCGAGCCGGGGCCGGGCCGGGGCGGGTCCCAGATAGCGACACGCAGCTCATTCATTCTGGGGTTGGGGCGCACCGTCTATTTCGGAAGCTGCTCCGCGATCCCCCAGTGAAACCAAATATAGTCGTGGCTCGGGTTATTTTTATCCCGCGGAGGGCCGCGACGCGTTGCTCTTCGCGTTTCGCGAGTACTCTGGGCTGTTTTTTTTAAAAAAAATAATGAAACGCACAGACACAAATAACCACACACACACACACACACACACTTTGTAAACCCTCTCCCCCAGATCCATGTGATGGTTAGTTACTCTTGTCTGGAGTTACGTTAATTCATCACGATGCTGCAGTTGCCCGAAGAACAATAACAGCACTGTATTTAATAGAAGACCGTGGAAAACTTCGTAATGTATTTGGAAATACACATCTTTTTTGTAATGCATTACATAAACTACACTCAGTAGATGGGGTGGATCCCCCCCCCCCCCCAACCCGTTCTGGGCTTTTATGTAATGCAGAACAAATCTACATTTATTTCATGAGCCGTGTAACGTTCGGAAATTGAATATAGCAAGAGTTGAGAATTTTCCACACCTTAAAATTTTGGCTTTAGCAAAAAAAAACCTAGAGACATTCTTTGTAACTTTGCCAATACGCCTTCGCCTTTCGCAGATTTATTACGCATTACGAATTGCGTACACGTCTCTTTTGTTGTTGCACGTTTAAGTGGAGATGAGTGCATTCGGGGATATTGCTTCATGGCATGTTCCCTCCCCTCTTTGCTGTACGAACGTGGGAGGATTTTTTTTTGAGCCCTTTCTTTCTTACATACGTGTGTGAAAAAAAAATTGTGAATGCAGCAGTTCCATTACTACGTTAAGGGCCCTGACCATTTTAAGGGAGAGTCTTATTTATTTAGGAAGCACTGTGGTTTTGGCGAGTCTCACCTCACCGCAGCGACTGAGGCTTTGGCAGGTGACTGAGGTGGTGAACCCTTGTTCCACGTTATAAATAGGGCTCGCGGAAGGGAACGTTCCGATGACGCACATGCGCCGGATTACGTAAAGGGAGCGCGGTCACATCAAAGCGACGCACGGTGACGCAGGGACGTACCCACGCCACGCGCTCCCTCCCTCCCTCCCCTCCGACTTCCGGGCCCGAGTTGCAGCAACTTTTCGCCTGAACTTGCAGTTCTCTCCTCCTGTGCAGTTGCCCTCTCCCTCTCTCTCTCTCTCACACACACACACACGCGCGCGCGCGCCTTTTTATATTTTGCCATTTGATCTTTCATTTTTTAAAAAAAAATCTCTTGAAACTAAAGTGCAACCCAAGAGGAAAGGATCGATCAACGAGGTTTTTTTTAAAAAAAAACCCCAAATAACTTAATTCCCCGTTGAGCAACTGGAAGGAGAAATCCATCTTGTGTGATTATGCATATTATACATATTGCATGTGCGGTTCACGTGTAAAGCAACGAGGTCGTGGGGATCGCCAAGATGGGTATCCCGCTCGTCCAGTTATGTTTAGGGAATCTAGACTTTATTTTGCTGAGACCTTATTTCGATCAGTCCCATTCTCTTCAAAGATCACTTTGTTGGCGAAGGAGGAATGATCGCGCGGCTGTGACTGAAGGACTTCCAAATCGTGTCATTGCTCATAAAACAAACAAGAAATAAATGATAGCACAGATCTAAATGTGTGACTGTTCCAGGACGCAGCAGGTGTAGTGCATTGTGAAAATAAAACATCCCACTTACCTCCCAACAGTTTCGACGGACAGAAATATGAAGATTACGAGAAGGTACATTATCTAATAAAACCATAGTTTCCATAAAATGTCCCATTGGTGAGAGAAACACAACTGCGTTGCTTAATTTCCAGTTATTCACTTACTTTCTCAACACTTGGAAGGAAGGTAGGCTCGTGCTGGAAAAGGTTTCAAGAAAATAGATTTTTTATGTTTCCTAACACACAGAATATTGAATGCGTGGGAGTGATTGCGGGCAATAATCTAATTGAAGAATATGACAGCATGAACCGTGCGTGTGAAGCTCCACCAATATACACCCATACCTTAATCCACAGCACCTTTAATGTTATTAATGCGGTTTAAGGTAACAGCAGCTGTGGATAACCTATAACCACGTGTTTCCTACTGGGTAGAATGGAGTACAATGCTCGACATTAACAATTTCAGCACATCACTGTGTTTGAGAAATAGTTAGCAGGCGATTCCCTGGAAATTCCAGTGTAGATTGTAGAGACGAAACAGAAGACAGCAATCTGACGAAGGAAACTATAAGAGAGAATCTTCAATGGTTTATGTAGCATTATCTGCAACCCCAAATCAATATCCGATTTAATTCTAATAGAATCTGTATGAATTCCTGCTATTCGCCCTCTGTGCTCGTCACATCAAAAGACTCATGTTTCAGAGTTAACAACCATTGTGGTGTACTTAGTCCCATTTTATAGGAAATACAATGACACTTTATTCTTGCAACATGCTATCCTACTTATCTGTTACATTATTTCAACACATTGTATTGAACCATCAATACAAACGTTTCTTTTGGGAGACTTTCACATGCTGCTTTCTTTGCTCGATTTGCTCAGATGTATGCAGCACAAAACATTCAGAATCGCACCTCAAAGCTGACCCCATCACCTTCATACAATCTATGAACCATATATACTTAACACCATTTGAAACAGAAAATAATATATATATATCTATATATACATACATATGTTACACCTAGATATGAAAGAGTTAATACTATATCAACAATCTTCCAAATAAGGACAAGTTAATAGGGACGAGGAAGTATAGGAAGTGTAGAATTGCTCACAATTTAGGAGTCACAGGGGCAAGTGGAACAGACTCCCAGCTGTGTGATGGACAAGGAACTTTAAAAAGTCTCACAATGTACTGGATAGGTTCCTGAGAAATGAAAACCTTAACATACGATGAGATTAGGTGCGTGGAAGGAAACTTTTGGAATCAGTGGACAAGGATGGGCCATTGGTCTATTCCTGCCTGAAACTCTTACTGTGTTATCCCAAACTATCTCTCCAGTTCAATGGACTATCTCCCTTGGTCTTGGTCTTGGTCTGATCAATGATATCATTGTAGTTGATGCAGAATTACCAAGATGCCTGGGCGCAAACGACGCATTATACACCAACCCCCCCCACACACACCCCCCGGACGATTCCTGATCGCCAGTGCCCTAGTTATCGTGTGTTTTTCTTCCCTCCGTTGAAATTTCGAGTCACCAGCGGTCTCTGATGGATCGTATTTTAACGCAGACCATCACCAGCCGCAGCCTCCGTGACGCACGCGGCGGATCGAGGAGACAATGGCACTACAGTGCGAAGCGTCTTGAACTCCAGGGAGAGAGGGTGTGGGACAGTGCCGCGCTCTGTGCCGCACATCAAAGGGACACCACCGCCAGATTTGGACCTTGGGAGCTTCCACGAGCAAAAATGAACAAAGCTGCTTAATCTGCACCGCTCAATTGCTCTGCTGTTATCATGCCTTAAAAACACTGAGCTGCATATATATACCCCCCCCCACCACCACCCCATCCACACACACACCCCCACCCACACACACACCCCCCATCCACACACACACCCCCCACCACACCCCCCCCACCCACACCCCCCCCCACCCACACCCCCCCCCACCCACACCCCCCCCCACCCACACACACCCCCCACCCACACACCCCACCCACCCACACACCCCCACCCAGACACCCCCCCACCACACACCCCCACCCACACACCCCCCCCCACCCACACACCCCCCCACCCACACACCCTCCCCACCCACACACCCCCCCACCCACACACCCCCCCACCCACACACCCCCCACCACCCCCCCCCCCCCCCCACCCACCGCCTCCAAGTGCTTTAACTCAAAACATTTTAATGTCTCCCAAAGAGTGTGTGTCTGACTTACAGTGAGTGAGTAACAGTGGCTATAAACCTTGGGAGCCAACAACCATTCTGCTGATGGACGTTTTCCCCGCTCTGTGGTGTTTGGTATTTTTTTTTAAAAAAAACATAACGATCGACCAGGAGACGTTTAAAATGTTTACAGACCGCCCCCTCCACCCCCTCCACCCAAAAGATGTCCCGAGTGCTCACAAGTGCACCATAAAACAGCCTCTTCACTCTGTAATTAAAAGTCATTTCTGGCCAGAAATGGTTGTTATGTGATGGTTACCAAACCCTAATGCCGGGCAGTGGGTGAGGGTCTCATGTCAGTTGTCCCACAGCGCAGTCAGACGATATGTTTCTGACATCAAGTCCCTGATCTGA